CATTCTCTGTGGACCTTTTACTTTAGCTGATAATGGAGGCTGGACAAAGTTTAAAAGAGGATGGATGGAGAATTTCTAAAAAAAAATTTGTTTTTATATTGGAGCAGATTTGTGTTCTTAGAATGACCCATTTCCAGTCCAGATCTAAAATAATTTTTGAATTTTGTAAATTGAAAAAAATCAAGAGTTTGAGATCTTCAGCAAAGTAGGCAAAAATCTGAATCTCAAAGTCTGGCAGAGACAACGTTTGAAAGCCATGAGTGATATTCCTTCCCCCTTCCACCAACATTTCACAGTTAGGCTAGGAATGTATAATTCTTACGTGAATATATGTGAAAACTTGTGTTTTTCACTTTTCTGGATGTAATCCCTGCTCCTCTCTCCAATGGCCCAAGTCCACCACCGAGGAGATGGTCAGACCTCCTTTGCCCCATTGTTCCAGCATCCCTCGCTTTCTCTCCCTTCCCCCATCATCCCGCCGCTTAGTCAGGCGCTGCGGTGGATCAGGCTTTCGAACGGCTGTGGTGTCTGAAAACGCTCCATGTTGTGGTCAAACACCACAGCCCCTGAGCGACTCATATTGCACTCAGAAAGGAGTTCTCTTCTCATTCTGTCTGGTTTCTGTCAAACAACAGGACACTGTCCTCAAAGACAAGCTCCAGGGAAGTGTGAGTCTCCTGGTGTTGGCAGTCTGAAATGTGACACTACCTGAAGGGGGAAAACGGTTCCTTTTAAATTTCACATCCTAAAGTTGTGGGGGATTTTTTTTGCACATTATAAACATTTAATTTTGCACTCTTACTTGCTGCTCAAAGCAGTTTCAGTCTGCAGACCTGGACTGAGTTTATGTTTTGTGTTTACTCTGATAGTTTGTGTCCTGCACAGTTACAAAATCTGCTGAGTGCTGCATTTGTCGAGCTCGCCTGAGGTGGAAACATATGGTCTCTCTGAGTGAAACCAGCAGTATTGTGAAAACCATCCTGGTCTTGTGCTTTAGAGCAGCTGAAATCATTTGGTATGGTGAAAGAGGCCAGGTTATGCTACAGTATACTTAAAACAAAATAATACCTAGCATTAAAAATCTATTTATAGGATATCATCCCACCATGTTTTAAATTCTGTCTAAATCAGGTTTGAATTCAAACGTGTATTTAATGCATTTTATGGGAGATGTAAAGGAAAGACTTTAAAACTATAAAGATTTTGTTCTTTGAGCTTTCCATATGTTGTTCTGTATACTGCTAATGTGATAATGGTGAATAATTTATGATGTTTAACTGTAATTCAGAAAAAAAGGAAGAACTGAATATAAATTCTGCTGCGTTCAGATACAGATGTACACAAAGACATCTGCTGAAGCACAGACATCCTCTCCACTGCTGGAAACCAGGGCAACCAAAGGTTGAGTAGTTTTTATGCTGATGCAGATGAATTTCTAGCTAATATGGTTATTAACACACATAATGTGACTGTTACCTTATTTAAACTAACAAGCTTTAGTATTTAATGACTAATATGCTACTAGTTGGTTAATGTAAGCATTTTAACTATTTATGGTGTTTCTGCTGCTTTTAACAGGATATATAGAGAAAGTATGTTGTGTGCTTTCCTTAGCATTAACCTAAAACTGTCCAAATTACATAATCTCCAGTGTTTCTGAGGGGATAGCCTTCCAGGTTTCTGCTTTTGGACACTCATGTAGTTGTTATTGCAACATAGATTGTTACAAGAATAAACTAGAAATGCACTCTGAGAGCACAGACCTCCGCCAAGCAGCACATTTTGCCCCAGATTGTGACTTAACGCCTATAGCTAAAACTTGTACAGGATCTGGATCACTGTGAATTTTTAATTAATCTTTCCCAGGCATGAGGCAGAACTCTGGTAAAAATGTTCTTAAAGGCCTTTCATGAAGTTGTAATATAAGCATGGAATGTTTTCCCCTGGATAGAATCTATAATAAACTGAATATTAAATATACACTTCTATCCAGGGGAAGACATTCCATGCTTATATTATGACAAGGAAGGAACACCCATTGTCAGCAGCATTAACTCAGTAACATACATCACTAAACAGCTTACCAATATTTTACCCCCCGATGAGAAACACACCACATCACATAGAAAACTCTTAAGACTTTGCAAACAAAGTCAGATATTTAAAGATGGCGCCAGGAGAAACCCTGGTGTTACATCTATTTTCACGTGCCAACGTCCTTGTCATGATGTTACAAAATTCTGACCCAAATGCAGAAAACCGAACAGAGAGACCAGGGAAAAGGTTTAACGGGTTTTATTGAAGAAGTTAAACAGAGGGAGAAGTGTTGCTCTGAACACTGCTCAACCGGAACTGCAAAGTGAGGGGAAGACACAGCGGTTAGTTCAGGCTCAGTGGGGAATTTGACTCGTGAACTTGGAGAAGAGGATTTGGTTGCCGACTCACGTTTCCAGAGAAGTTGTTGAATCCTTGACTGCTGTCTGTGTGCCGTGCTTCCAGTGTTTGTCTGATTCGGTGGAGGGCGGAACAGGGTTTACCCAGAATGCGGTTGATAGTTGGTGAACGGAGAAAACTGACTGCCACTCAGATTTCCTGCGGTACTTGAACGGGTCGTAGTGGAGAATTATCCCTTTCTTAGTGAGAAGCTCAATAACCTGACTCGGCCAGATGGATTTGCTCCGCATATCCATCTGGAAACCTTCCGTTGAAATAATTTTGGGAAGGGGCGAAAATACTGGTTAGCTGATTGGCCTATGTTGGTGATAGAAGGGCCAAATAAACCAATCAGATTAATGAAGCATATGACGTACTAACAGAGCGACGACGAAAACACAACCACAAGCCAGGCTACTCTTAACCTGACTCCGCCAGATGGATTTGCTGAGCCTCCAGAGCAGTGTTTTGCTCTTCTTTCAGTGAAGAAATACTCTGTAAATCCGATAAAACTTGCTCGATAGCCACGCTAACGCTAGTTTCATCAACTGAAGCCGCCATGTTCTTTAGACTGAACTGTCGCGCTTCTCGTTGCGTCACACCTCAACCTGCCTCAAAGCCAACGCTGATTGGACGTTCGTTTGGTGAACTGCTCCAAATTTTCTTTAACGGAAAGTAGCCAGAATGATCTGCGAGTGAAACCTTGAAAGCTTGCGAGATCGGGATGGTCTCACGAGGCTAGAAGCTCAAACGATCTCTTGGGGAAAGTGGATCCAAACCTCCTGTTTGAACCCCAGCTCAGTTTGAAGCTCAGTTGATCCTTCCAGGGAGGGAAGGTCAGAGAAATCTAGTTTGCAGGATGACTTCCTGCCGAGAGGCAAAAGACAAAAACAAAGTTAAACTCAGGTTGACAAAAAGCTCAGCTTGACTCAGCAAAACTCAGCTTGGCTAGAGTACCCTAAACTGGCAAACACTCTGGTGTTGAGGTAGTGGCAGTCAGCAGCTTAAGAACACTCCATTTAACGAGGAAACCATGAGCAGGTGTGTGAGGAGGTGGACCAGAACCAGGCGCCTCCTGGTGGATGAAGGGAGACAAACACAGAAACACAAACACAAAAACAGGAGTCCTGAAAGTCCTGTTGTTTAGGTCAACAAGACAGTGATCTAAATAACAGGACTGATTTCACTTCAGACCTGATCTACGCCCTACTGGAACTTCGTCCTTCCACAACCTATTTCAAGTTCAGGGATAATTTTACAGACAGAAGCATTTTTGTTCCATGGGATCTCCAGTGTCACCGATTGTACCCAATCTTTACATGGATGAAATGGAAAACTTTAGACACTTTCAGAGGAACACCACCAAGCCACTGGTTTAAGATGTGGATAACACATGCATCAAAATCCAGCTTAAAGAAGTGGAAGCTTTCACAAGAGATCACCAGAGTTCACCAGAGAGGATGCCAACGACAACAAGCTACCTTTCCTGGACTGTTTGGTGAGCTGGAAGTAGATGGAAACCTCAACATTTAAGTCTTTAGGAAATCCACTCACACAGACCAATATCTTCTTTTTGGATCACACCACCCACTGGAACACTAACTTTCGGTCATCAGGACCTTACAACATCGTGCTGAGCATGTCCCTGCAAAAACAGAAATGAAGCACAAAGAACAGAAACACATCAAAGATGCTCTCCAAACCTGCAGATACCCAAACTGGACGTTTGTCAAATCAGCAAGGAAATCCAGAAGACAAGCAGCAGAACATAACAGTGAGAGAATTAAATGCAAAAACATTGCCATCCTATATGTTGCTGGAGTCTCTGAAAAACTCAAGAGGATTTTCTCCAAACACAAAATCCCAGCACATTTCAAACCTAACAAGACCCTTAAACAGAGACGGGTGCATCCTTAAGACAAACCCCCAGAGAAATATGAGCTGAGTGGTGTCTGCTGTTCACTGCAGCGAGGAATGCTCTGATCTTTATATTGGAGAAAGCAACTAACCTCTCCGCAGACGCATGGCCCAACACAGGCGATCAACCTCCTCGGTACAAGACTCAGCAGTACATCTACACCTGATGGACAAAGGACATCCTTTTGAGGACCAGATTCATTCCAAAACACTTAAAAGAAACAATCTACTGGACTTTTTTTCCAAGTTTGAAGACGTTTCGCTTCCCATCCAGGAAGCAGTTTTCAATTGAAATCTGTGAAACATAAACATCTCATTCGATGAACCCTCACTGTCACTGTTGGCAGCTCTTTACCAGCAGAATCTCCCTCTTTTTCTCAATGACGTCAGCGCTACAGTGTGCTCTAGTTTTGCCTTTTGTTGTACTTTGGGAATTTAAATGTTTTCTTTTTGTTCTATAACATAGAAGAAATGATGAGTATGCTGCTATTTAACCAATTCCACCCTCCATCCATACTCCTTCTCTCTGTGTTGTCCACCTCAGCAGAGGCAGAGCCTAGAGCTGGAATCGATGAATCTTCAGCTCATAAACACACCGCCTGGCATAAACCATAAGAAACCCATTAACATGTCATCTTTTTCTTGCTCAGGGCGTATAAAACCATCGAGGACGATGACCTGAAGTTTCCTCTGATCTACGGCGAGGGGAAGAAGGTAAGTGTTGCTTGGCAGCCACTCGCTGACTGACTTACTTCTGCAGCCATGAAAGCCTTGTCTGTAATCAAACCTCTCCAAGCACCATAAGTCAGCTCCCTCCTGCCACTGTATGGGGAAGCAGCACTCATTTGTGGGCCTGTTTTTCAACAAGAATTGCCATCCCACAGGACAGTGTTTATTTACTTGCCAGAGGTAAAACGTATCCAGAGTTGAACCAAAGGACTCCCATATGTGCTCTCGGTTAAAGAAGAAAAGCAAAGAAAGTTTGAGGAATGTTATTCATGAGTGTCAAATACCACATTACCTGCCATGTGTTTCTTCACATAATTAGATTTTTCTTCTTTTTGACCTTTATGAAATCAAAGCTATAAACTTTAATAAATTCTTTTAGGAGTTTTATATGATAAATGAAAACTAAATAGCCCATAACTGTGAGGTTAAAGGAAACAGATGATTTTTTTAACAATAAACATCAGTCTCCAGGTTTCTTCTTGGTGGTCGTGCAATTTTTGCAGTTAGTGGTCATACATTGTTAGTCTTTATTGCACACAGCTATGGAAAAGCATGTTTCATGCTTTTCCCGTCAGCTTTCCATACTTCTAAATAAGGTCCAGTACACTCATAAAGTTCTGAGCAGTTTTATCAGATTCTAAGAAGGTCAGGTGATTGTTACATTTTTCAGTTATTGTTCATTTTTCTTTCTAATTCTGAGGTTGTAAAAGTAGCGCAGCATCAAATTCTCGATGAATTGAAGAGGTAAAGGACAGACATGACAGATGTGAGTTTGTTCCCAGTGTGGCCCTCTTATGTTTGACTGGGAGCAGCTCTCACTGCAGTCCCCTCCGACTGGAAACCACATCCAGGTTTTTTTACCCCTTGATTGATCCCCCGTGTCCACGTCCTTGTCCTCCACTCCTTTCAAGTTGGGTGAGGAGATGGACGGCCAGATAGAGAAGAGAGGAGCTTTGTGTGAGAGGGAGAAACACCTGAGCACTTCAAAGTCCCGGCACGCTGCCTGCTGGGCCTCAGCAAATAATCCTGGGATGTTTCCTCCTTCTCCGCTGGAAGAGTTTAGTCGCTGCTTTGAAAAGCTGCAGTGCATACTGCATACTGATCTGAGCTCTTTGCAACCAGGCCTCACTTATCCTCGTGTGCCCTTTTCCTGTACAGTAGAGTAAATTAACCAGCCCCCATGGTGGTGTGCATGCCTCCTGTTTTTATAGGGAGCTGTATGCAGACCGTTGGAATCCAGTTTACAGCAGCTTACACCTGGGTTTGATTAAATATGTGGCAAAGAAGAGAAACAAAAAGTACTGTAAATACCTGTTTTATATTTATATTTTGATTTGTTGAAGTCACCATGTTTTAAACGGAGCACTCATAAGTAATAGCAACATGACTGGTAACTAGTTTTCTAAGTGTGATCTGTCAGCTTTTTAAGGTTGGGAGTCGTGTCATCCTGACCCCTGAATCCTAAAACAGCGCCGAGTTCGCTGAGGATCTGTTTAACAGATGTCTGATCTTTTTGCAGGCTCGGGTGTTGGCAACGATTGGGGTAACAAGAGGTTTTGGGGACCACAATCTAAGAGTGCACGATTCCAACATTTATATCAAGCCCTTCCTGTCCTGCTGCCCAGAGGTATGCCTCCGATCATTATTTCCACATCACACTGTTCTAATGTTACAGGAAGCATTGCATGTCCTTGCAGAGTTTTTTTTTTTGAGTGCCTCTATCTATTTTTTAATGCATGGGCATCACATTAACCTCCCCTATGATTTTGCCTGTATATCTTAGGCTTTTATCTTAGTAGACCCACCGATCATAAACACTGACATTCCCATTGCCATACTTCAGGCCTGATATGGAATCTTCAGAAGTCTCTTTTCTAGTGGCTGAGAGAAGCAAACCCACTGCAAATGCATTAATGTGCTGCAAACAAAAATTACTACAAAGATGAGGCTAGCAAAGTCATGAATTAAAATAAAACAGAAACACACATGCATATGAAAAAAAAAACAACGCTTAAAGGAATAGTACACCCAAAACATGATTAGCCTTCATTTTCTACTCACCCCCATGCTGAACAACACTCTGGAGTACTTTTTTGATATCTCAAATGCATCTGGAGATCTGGGAGGCTTCTTGCTGTCTGCTGACATTCAAATAATGGAGGTCTATGGTGACCGAGACAGAAAGGTCCATAAAAGTCCACAAAAAACGTGTCAATATTCCTCCATACTGCTCGTCCAATGTATTCCAAGTGTCCTGAGTGGGTAGCGTCCAGAATTTACTCGAAACGAAGTCATTTAGAATGTTTTTAGAGCATAAACAGTAGTGTATAGGATTTCCTCAAAGCGCGTTCACGAGTCTACGGAAACCGCGGCAGACCAAAACAGACGAAAGTGCGCATTCAGCTCGGCAAAGAACTCATGCTCTTCCTCAACACTGAAGTCCTCAGACATTTTTCTTTCGTTGTTTCTTTCTTTGCACAGGTAAACAGCACATTTCTTCATTTACGCTTGCATTATCGGCAGAGCAGACGCTGAATGCGCACTTTCATCTGGTTTGGTCTGCCGGCTTCCGTAGCGTCGTGAACGTGCAGGCGCGCCTGACTTAAACACATCCCCAAAATGATTGACAATTAGGAGGACCACTTATTCAGATGATCCACCCAGAAAAAGAATATCCTCCAGTATAAATCTAAATATTTTTGCGGCCTGGCAGTCAATTCAGTTCAATTCATTTTATAGCACCAATTCACAACACATGTCATCTCAAGGCACTTTACAGTTCAACCAGATCATCCAGTCAGATTGATTCAACGTTTTCTATCTAAAACAGTCAGGCTTTAACTCTCTGAGCTCTGAGGGAATGGCAGCTTGACTTCAGCATCACTGGTGGGCTGTGGCTCATTGTTCAACTGCTGAACCCAAGTGTGTAAAGCAGCGTTAGACTATCACCCTGTTGGACTGTTCGACCTTTTATAAAATGCTGTGAGTTAAATGGCAGATTTAACAGAAACACATCTTACGTTCATCTAAATGTTCTTGTTTTCAGGGATTATTATTATTATTATTATCATACTGTGTGTCCTACTGTAAGCAGACATAAATCATATGGACTTCCCTAATACTATTAATACTGTTTGGATTCGTTTTTGGTGTACATGTACATATATATGTATATTAGGGGGGGAACGGTTCACAAAATCCATGGTTCGGTTCTGTCCACCGTTTCATGGTCACGGTTTTTGGTTCGGTATATGTTGATTGTTAGGAAAATCTCTAAGCTGATATGTTGGTCATGTTGCTGTTAGCATAAACAAAACGTGTTGCACAATGCTTGCACACTGTTGCACTTTTATCCACAACTTTCTTTCCGCTGTCATCGTAGGTCACTCTAAATGCAAAGCGGTCCCATACAGCAGACCAGTGTTGTGCCTGAACGCGTTCATTGAACGAAAGTTCATGAACTCGTTCATATTTTGGGCGAACGTGAACTGAACGTACTGCATTACTGCCTGATGAACGTTATTGTGAACTTGTTCATTCTGGTGTCTGTGAACGGCACGCTCTCTCAGTTCAACTCCGTTCAATAGGTTGCCAGATTTCTATAGAGTCCTCCAGGCGAAACCCCTCTAAATCACACCGTAAACAAGCCTTAATATGTAGCGGGAAAAACACCCAATCTGGCAACACCAGCTACCAGTGTCGTAGCCTACAGCCGCATGCGTCATCAAAACAAAATGCCGCGTGGAAGCCACAGCAGCGTGGAGGCTACCGTGGAGGCGACAAAGCAGCAGTATGATCACTTAAAACAGGTTTATGACCAGGTGGTCGGTGAGGATGATGGAAACAAGTTTGCCCGCCGGCTTTCAGTAAAAAAATCCGCACTTCAGTAACCTTAAATTCCTACCTCAGCCTGGTCCCTCAGTTTGTGTTAGTAAAATCTTCTTGAGCGGAGGTCTTCAACAGGGGATCCGCGACCCCTAGGGGGTCTACGGAGGTACTGCATGAAGGTCTGCATGGTTAGTTGATATTTTTATATTCCCCCCCTGCAATTTTTTCCCCCACTAATTGAAATGTCTTTAAATACTCATTAACATGAAATCAACACACTGTAGTAAACAGATAAATGGAGACAAAAGATGTCTTTCAGTCATCAATGCACACATTCAGCGACACACAGGAGCTCTTTCAAGCTGGGCACCGTTTCCTTCACAACAACCAGGAATCAGAATCAGAAAAACTTTAATAATCCCAGGGAGAAATTAATTTCTTTACATTACTCCATCTGTAATAGAGTGACTATAGGACACAATTTCATACAATATATATAGTTAGGGGGTCTCGCTCCATCTCGCCATCAGTTTGGGGGTCCTTGGTCTGGAAAACATAGAAGACCCCTGTTCTTGAGGGTTTTACTATCCATGTAACTTGTTTGTTAAACCTGCCTGGTATAATTTTCCAGGATTCCTTTTTAGTATGTATTAAAATGGAATTTCAAATGGAAAAAATTATTTAAAAAAAAACAAAAAACATTTGCACCTTAAAGACTACTTTCCTATTTTTCTTTTAATAATTACTCATAAAAAAGACCATTCAAGCAGCACATTTTTCCTGATGTTTTTGAGAATATACTGTAGGGGTGAAAGCTGCAGCTGCTACTAGTGTGAAATGAATGGACAGCAACAAAGCGTTAAAGCAACAATGGGGAAATCTGTCCCCTCAATGCTAATGTAAACCCTGGTTGGATAAGGATTCAAAACTGGATATGAAGATGAAATCTGACGCACAGTTTCAGAGCTACAACTGATAAAATAATTGCTGTCTGTGGTTCTACAGTAGGCTATGGTGTAATTGAGTAATATATGAAAAAAAAAAAAAGAACTATGAACTAGTTCATTTTTTGGTTTTGAATTATGAACTATGAACTGAACTAGTTCATTTTAAAATGTGTGAACTGAACTTTGAACTAGTTCACGTAGAAAGAGAACTTTCCCAACACTGCAGCAGACCTATAAAGTGCTGCTGGCGCGTCTTCCAACTCCTGTTCTTTCCCACTCGCCATACCCACACAATTCTCCACAACAACTGATTTTTCCCTGCTGCACCCGGCTACGCTGCTTCGCTTCTTCTTCTTCTTGTTTACTACTGGTGGTTGGCTTTGGTCGCAGTACCGCCACCTTCTGCTCTGGAGTGTAAACGCTTTGCCTATGAGAAAAAGGAGCAGCGCATGAACCGAACGCAACACACGCAAAGTGAACCGAGACAGTCGAACCGAACGGTTTCGGGCGGTTTTCATAAACCGTTCCATCCCTAATGTTTTTGTAGCACTTTGAGGCCTTTTTGGTGAAAAGTGCAGTAAAAATTAAATGAATTATATATATGTATATATATATATATATATAATTAGATTTTTCTTGCATTATGTAGAGTATATGACGTATATGTAGCGTATGGATATTCTGGTGAGTAACCATTTTGGGAGAACCAGAATACTACCAAAACCTTTCTGCAACATTTAGTTTCCCTTTGGGATAAAAGGATTTTTCAATTGAATTTGAAAACTTTTCAGCTCTTTATTGTTTATCTACCTGGAAATGTGTACATCCGCAGAAAAAAAAGTATTAAAGTTAACATTTAAAAACATCCTTTGCCATTAAAAGTGCACTCTGTGAACTGTTTCTTAAGATGCACTCTAACGCTCCCCACAGTCCTATCCCTCTTAGTAACAAATGCACATGATTGCATTAGTCATAAAAGCTGTGAACTCTCATGGTTCTGGATTCTCTGCCTCAGAGTTCAGTCACAGTTCAGCCTCTTTTTAACAGGTTTCTCTGCAATGAGCCTAGTTGCCTTTGTTGGAGTGAAGCTGTTCTGAAGAATTAGAGGTCCTGTTGTATAAATAACTGCTAAAATATATAATATAATGGGTCAATGTGTGAGAGGCTGCTCTATAAAGTTCAATAAAACCCCTTTGCAACATGTGAAGCTCAACTGAACAGGTTGCTCTTTGAGGGTTTCTCAAAATATGAAGGGAAAATCGGATCTGAGTTGAGGGATTGAGGCATCGTTCTTCCCTCAGGGACGTCTTGCTGCTGTATTGAGAAATCCAGTAATTCTTGGCTCATTCATGCTCTCTTTTGGGAAACACAATGCAAGTCATGAGGTTTACAGCCTGACCCAGACACAGGGCCTTCAGATTCCCCTAACTGTCTCTACAGAGGCTGTGTGCTGAGCTGTTTTCATCTGTAGCAGATAAACCTTAATGCTTCTAGGCTAGCTGAGCTAATTATTGCTAATTATTTACCACTAAATTCATGAAGAGAGTTTCCAGAGTTTAGGAACAGCTTGAGAATCATTGAAAACATTTTAAAATAGGCCTAGTTGTGCTTGTGTGTTTTTGTTGTTTGTTTTGCCATGCATGTCCCCCAGTTTCCCCGCAGCTTTTTGTTTTAATGCTATCGTCATTTCACAGACATGAACTCACAGACTGCCTCTGAAAAGGTTGAACATCTGGCTTGCATGCTGAAAGCAGCGTTTAGAAGTGATGGAAACCCTGGAGCTCTTTTTGTTTGCATTAGTTTGGAGCTATAACGCATTTCAATCAGGTGAAAACTCCTGCCATCCGTTTGAAGGCTTGCAGGAGGATGTTTCATCTGACAAAATGAGAAGATTTTAATTGGAATTTCTTTTTGCAGACACTGTTCTGTTTAATGAAATCAGCTATGAAACACATTACATTATTATTATTATTATTAAGAAAGAAAGAACACATGTAGCCTGTTTTCTGCATTTTGAACAAACTGAAAACTTTTTTCAGAGTGTATCTAGAAGCTTATTTCCCACAGAGGAACCTCTCAGTCTCCAGTGTTCCCTGTCTGCCTGCAGGTCAAGGTTTACCCCTTATCGCAGTACGAGCATGGAGCGGATGACGTCCTGATTCTGGGAACCGACGGTCTGTGGGACGTCCTTTCTAACCAGGAAGTGGCTGAAGCGGTCACCACTTTCCTGGCAAACTGCGACCCAGACGACCAGCACAGGCACGTTCTCCCATCCTGACAGCTGCAGCCGGTCAGGCCTGAACTTCTGCTCACCCGACAGGCGTACAGCCGACCAACGGAGCTCAGTTATCGCAATTGTGTACATTTTTCTAAACATTTAGATTGGATGTGTCTCTGGTGATAGGGAATAAAGACAGACTTTCATCAGGCGTCTTCAGATTCCTCCTCTAAGTGTTGTGATTAGTATTTATTTTGTTGAATCTCGTGTTACGGTAACCACGGTGCTCATTAATCACATATGTGTTGACAGGTACACAATGGCAGCTCAAGACCTGGTCATGAGAGCACGCGGGGAGCTGAAGGACCGCGGCTGGAGGATATTCAATGACAGATTAGGCTCTGGGGACGACATCTCTGTCTACATCATCCCCCTCATGTATGGAAACAAGCAGAACTAGCAGGGTTAAGAAACTACAACCAAAAACCTTGGCTTGACCCACTCAGTTTCCCTCTTCACTCTTTTATTTTTTGTAAAGAAGTGCTTTTGTGTGGATTTCCTGAAGGATCCAAGCTGTTTCTGCTCCGAGCTGAGATTTCTGTCCAGGTTTCCTGTGCATCGTCCCCATCAGGGTGCTCTATTTTGGTCCGTTCCTTTATTCTAAAGAAGAAACCGAGAAACCAAACAATGAAAGGAACTGCTGATGACTTGAACTATGTTTTTTTTTTAGTCTTTTGAGGAAGCCATCTTTAACTTTAGCCTGAGATGTTTCTGGAGCTTGGACTGTGGCGGACAGTGCGGCAACATGCATCTCAGGATCGCGGTTATTTGACAATATTTATAATTGTTAAACATGTAAATACCTGCACAGCATTTGCTAAAAGTGGGTTTTGTGGAATATTTGCATAATATATGATGAAAAAAAAAAAGTCTGGGCACTGATAAGGGGGCAAAAATGAAATGATTTCTGTATGTTAGGCCTCCAGAAGCAGACCCAGGATTTCCAGTCAAGGTTTAACTTTAATCAAAAAGAAAGAACAAAGCCCTCTTTCTTTTGCACTTTGTCAACTTATTGTCTTCCTCCTTCCTTTGATTAATAGGTGCCTCCAACATAAATTGATTAATGTTTGCTATTCCACCATTTATCATGTAATAATTCTAAATAGCATCCATACCGACAGCAGTTAAGAGGACAATCACCCTTAAATCTCCCTACAATCAATATCATTCTTGGCTACAGCAGGTTTTTTTCCCCTGTTTTTGTTGAGGTTGAGTTTTGTGATCGCTGTTCTGTCGGTACTGGATGTAAATGCAACACTAACTTCGTTCACAGTGCCTTGCAAAAGTATTCAGACCCCTTAAACTTTTAGACATTGTGTTATTTTAACAATCAGGAACTCTCTGGTGTTTTATTTGGGACTTTATGTGCTATACCAAGTAAAAGTGGAATGATTGTTATGTTGATTAAAAACGATTTTTGGTTGCAAATGTTTTTACGTAAAAAAAAAACATCTAAAAAATGTAGCAGGTTAGTTTTTAAACCCTTCAGAGTTGATTTATCCTGTCTACATGCAGGTTCTACCAGCTTCTCACAGCTACAGACTTCCTCTGTTCTTTACTAAATAAGTTCAGTCCTATTAATTTAATTATTAATTCTCAATTTTCGCCTCATATTCTCCATGAGATTTAGGTCCAGATTTTTCTTCTGCTGTTTTCTAAAATATAGATGTGCTTCACCAGAGACTGGATCTTTGTCTTCACAGCTTCTCCCTTAGCGGTCCTCTGAACGCTCCGCTTGCCTTTTTTTTTTTTTTACAGTAGTTTCACGGTCTTTCACTGGACTGTCAGAGATGTTCAAAGCTTGAGATTTGTTTTTAAACCCACCTCCTGCTTTGCTGTTCTGCACATCCCTCCCTCCTTGACCCGTCTGCTGTGATTTGTTCCCCCAACGCTCTTCAACAAACCTGCAGGGTTTTCATCTGGATTGATTCTCGGAGTAAATTACACACAGGTGAACTTCTGAAGAGATTTTTTTATTTTGTAGGAGTCAAGAGTAGAGGGCCCCTAAAACAGTACATCATGTTCGTTACATTGAATTTGTATTTGTTATGTGACAAAATGTGTAATTGTTGAAGGGCTGTGAATAGTACTGTATAGCACTTTATATCTTTCCAATCGTCGTCTGATCCTGTGGTTTTCCTCACATTTCCATTTATTTTCGACTTTATCTCGGTGGTAGCTGCTGTATGCGTCAATGTGAAACACGGGACCGAGTCAGTTCATTTAAGTGTAAATAAACCTTCCAGTAAAAAACTGCAGTTTGTAACCTTTTTTTAAATATATATATATATATAAGAAATAGAAGCAATTAAAAAAAAAAAAAGGTCAATTGGGTAAAAAAAATAAAATTGAAAAAAAATCTAAATAAAAAGAAAATGCTCTGGGTGTTTGCTGGTTTTTATGGGGCCAAAATGGTAGCTTTAATATTTGCAAATGTGTGTGGAGAGGTGTGTGTCTGTATCTCGATTTGTGTGTGTGCAGTGGGATTTGAAAATGTGTAAATAAATCTGTAAATGTGTGAGGAGATTTGTGTGTCTGTACAACAATCTGCAAATGTGTAAAACTAGTTGTGTGTAATCCGTTTTGCAAATGTGTAAAAAATCCACAAATCTGTATTCAGATCTGCAAATGTGTACTGAGATTTGCAAATGTGTAAAACATCCACAAATCTGTATTCAGATCTGCAAATGTGTACTGAGACTTGCAAATGTGTTGATCAATCTGTAAGCACACACAGAGACACTTGTTTCTGAAGTATTTTCGCTTCAAGACCCAGAAATACAGACAAATCATTGGTTACAAGTCAAGCGGTTTTTCGGTTGGCTCTCTTTACACACGTGATTTTTGCTACTCTTCTGCCGCGTGAGATGCACAAATGCGTAGAAGGATTTGTATGTGTATTTTCGCGATTTGTAACCCCTTGCGCAGGCTCGCAGGCTCACATGCTGCCCTGACCGCAGGCTCACAGGCTCACAGACAGCCTCTACCTTTTTTTTTCCTCCGCTGCGGGAGTTGACGTGACAAGGATGATATATTGATACCATTCAGTAAGGAAAAAATTTAATCTATTATTAAACAAAAGGTTACGGAAAGATGGCAGAAGCTGTGGGAAGAGCATAGAACTGGAAGTTGGCTTTATAGTATTCAAAGGAAAATTGGTGAAATGAGGAGAACGGAAAGGAATAAAAAAGAGGTTATATCTAGATTAAGTTTCGGAAACACGGGGTTAAATGGAAACTTATTTAGAATGGGAACAGGAGGTTGTGGTTTTTGTTATCAAGGGGAGACGGTGGAGCATGTTTTGTTGTTTTGTTATAAATATTCTATGGAGAGAAGGGTTACAAGAAAATAAATTGCAGTTAAATATACAAGATATTTTTTGGGGGGGGAATCTACTTATGATTATTTTTGTAATTTGATAAACAATCTTGAAAAAACGAAATTGGTAAAAAGGATATAAGTTTATTTATGTAAATATTGTTAATATTTATTTTTATTTTTCAGTGGGAAAATATATAGCATCCCGATCCACACTCCACTGAAGTAGATGGTGGTAATGCACATCATAAAGTTGCTTGCCAACCGCCATAAAACAGAAGCAGAAGAAGAAGAAACAGTTTTACTAATGCAAACTATAGAAAAAATTAAAGAAATATACTTACAGAAAGCTGACGGGATTCCATTGCTCTCAACTTAGCAGGTACAACCCCTAGGACCCCAGTAACGTCACGTACTGTGCAATACAATACCGCCAACTGATGGTATGTGGCTGTATGTGAAGCGAGTTGTGCTGAACTGCAGCAGCAGAGAGACTGTCTGTGAGCCTGCGGTCAGGGCAGCATGTGAGCCTGCGCAAGGGGTTACAAATCGCGAAAATACACATACAAATCCTTCTACGCATTTGTGCATCTCACGCGGCAGAAGAGTAGCAAAAATCACGTGTGTAAAGAGAGCCAACCGAAAAACCGCTTGACTTGTAACCAATGATTTGTCTGTATTTCTGGGTCTTGAAGCGAAAATACTTCAGACACAAGTGTCTCTGTGTGTGCTTACAGATTGATCTACACATTTGCAAGTCTCAGTACACATTTGCAGATCTGAATACAGATTTGTGGATTTTTTACACATTTGCAAATCTCAGTACACATTTGCAGATCTGAATACAGATTTGTGGATTTTTTACACATTTGCAAATCTCAGTACACATTTGCAGATCTGAATACAGATTTGTGGATTTTTTACACATTTGCAAAACGGATTACACACAAGTAGTTTTACACATTTGCAGATTGTTGTACAGACACACAAATCTCCTCACACATTTACAGATTTATTTACACATTTTCAAATCCCACTGCACACACACAAATCGAGATACAGACACACAACTCTCCACACACATTTGCAAATATTAAAGCTACCATTTTGGCCCCATACTGCGAGCCTGCGCAAGGGGTTACAAATCGCGAAAATACACATACAAATCCTTCTACGCATTTGTGCATCTCACGCGGCAGAAGAGTAGCAAAAATCACGTGTGTAAAGAGAGCCAACCGAAAAACCGCTTGACTTGTAACCAATGATTTGTCTGTATTTCTGGGTCTTGAAGCGAAAATACTTCAGACACAAGTGTCTCTGTGTGTGCTTACAGATTGATCTACACATTTGCAAGTCTCAGTACACATTTGCAGATCTGAATACAGATTTGTGGATTTTTTACACATTTGCAAATCTCAGTACACATTTGCAGATCTGAATACAGATTTGTGGATTTTTTACACATTTGCAAATCTCAGTACACATTTGCAGATCTGATTACAGATTTGTGGATTTTTTACACATTTGCAAATCTCAGTACACATTTGCAGATCTGAATACAGATTTGTGGATTTTTTACACATTTGCAAAACGGATTACACACAACTAGTTTTACACATTTGCAGATTGTTGTACAGACACACAAATCTCCTCACACATTTACAGATTTATTTACACATTTTCAAATCCCACTGCACACACACAAATCGAGATACAGACACACAACTCTCCACACACATTTGCAAATATTAAAGCTACCATTTTGGCCCCATACTGCGAGCCTGCGCAAGGGGTTACAAATCGCGAAAATACACATACAAATCCTTCTACGCATTTGTGCATCTCACGCGGCAGAAGAGTAGCAAAAATCACGTGTGTAAAGAGAGCCAACCGAAAAACCGCTTGACTTGTAACCAATGATTTGTCTGTATTTCTGGGTCTTGAAGCGAAAATACTTCAGACACAAGTGTCTCTGTGTGTGCTTACAGATTGATCTACACATTTGCAAGTCTCAGTACACATTTGCAGATCTGAATACAGATTTGTGGATTTTTTACACATTTGCAAATCTCAGTACACATTTGCAGATCTGAATACAGATTTGTGGATTTTTTACACATTTGCAAATCTCAGTACACATTTGCAGATCTGAATACAGATTTGTGGATTTTTTACACATTTGCAAATCTCAGTACACATTTGCAGATCTGAATACAGATTTGTGGATTTTTTACACATTTGCAAAACGGATTACACACAACTAGTTTTACACATTTGCAGATTGTTGTACAGACACACAAATCTCCTCACACATTTACAGATTTATTTACACATTTTCAAATCCCACTGCACACACACAAATCGAGATACAGACACACAACTCTCCACACACATTTGCAAATATTAAAGCTACCATTTTGGCCCCATACTGCGAGCCTGCGCAAGGGGTTACAAATCGCGAAAATACACATACAAATCCTTCTACGCATTTGTGCATCTCACGCGGCAGAAGAGTAGCAAAAATCACGTGTGTAAAGAGAGCCAACCGAAAAACCGCTTGACTTGTAACCAATGATTTGTCTGTATTTCTGGGTCTTGAAGCGAAAA